GACCTCGGCCAATCAAGTTGTGGCAGCTCACCCCTATATTGTCATCGCGGTTATAAACCTTTCTATTTAGTTACGCGAAACACATCTATCGTACATTAGGAATTTTTTCATTGAGTCTAGGCTACCATTAGATTAATACATTGACGCTCTAAAAACATAGCTTTTATTACTTTCGCCTTTTATGTCAAGTCAAAGTACATCAATAAAATGCGAAATATTTAAGAGACTTCACGATTACCGGAAGAAGACTTTGCGCGCAGCCAAAAAATATAGACGAAATCCCTTAGAGATAAAAAGTTTGTTCACAATTTTCTGGATATTTGTTTTATTGGTAGTGATAGAATTGATATTTATCTAAGTAAATTAATAACATGCAATTTTTTTTGTGGCTTCCCAATAGCGGAAGAAGACTTTGTTCAACGAAAAAAGATATTTGAAATCCTTCAGGGTTAAATGGAGGGTTGGTAGTTTTCTTGTTTTATTGGTCGTACTAGGATTGATTTTAGATTAATGATAAAGGTTTTGTGTATGGGGCATCTTTGAGAGGGGTACCAGTTGTTCTTCATGATTCAGGCGACTTTACGCGTTCATCTACTTACATATTGGCCAAGATATCTCCTCTTTTAGGGAGGTAGAGAGGGTGTGCATCTAGCTCTCCCACTTGTACTTGATAATCATAACATTGCTAGCAAGGTCTTGATATTACGTCCTATTATGCTTTCTTGTCGTAATAAAATCGCATTAGGAATATGGGACTTTTGGGCTCTAATTCACCCAAGTATTGGATCGACTACTATTTCCTTGAGACACTAAGTAAAATAAGGAAATAGCCAACGCAGGCACTCGGTAGTTTCTGCCATAATTTTATGGTGTAGGTTTGACCTTCCTTGACTATATTTCTATCTACAATATATAATACATAAATAGCATTAACGAAGAAATAAATAGGAAGTGTGAGCTCTCCTTAAGGCGCAGTCCATTTTCTGATGTGTAGTCGTATTGTACTTCAAACCTCTTGTTATTTTTGCTTCCTCCATCTGGGCAACAAATGAAATAATTTTCGTGGCTTCTTGCTTTAATTTCCTAATGGTCTAACACCAACATGTGCTAATGAGAATTTAGAAAATATTTTACAAAGGTTTTGGAAAGACAACATGTGTATAGGATTAAATGAATCAATGAAATAGTGTACAATAGAGTACAATACTTTAATGTCTTTGTTGATTTAGTGTAATAATGAGCCTCGGAAAGACAAAGCAGGATCGTGCGAATTGGAAGGAAAAAGAGAAGAGAAGAGAGAGAGTTAGGGAGATAGAGAGAGAAAGAGAAAGGAAGAGAAAGGAAGAGAAAGGAAGAGAGAAAACGAAAAGAAAGAAGGAAAAAAGAAAAAAATCAGGAAAAAAAGAAAGAAAAAAAAGAAAAGAAAAAAATTCATGGACGAAAAGGAAGGCAGGGAAAAGAGGAAGAATATTCGAAGGAAATATATTCATAGAATATTCAATTTAGAAGATGAGGCAAAAGTCGATTCAGCAAAGAAAGAACGAAGAAAATAAAGAAGAAAGAAGAAAAATATTCATAGAATACTCATTTCAAGAAAAAAAGCAGCAACTCAAGCAGAGGTATTTTTATTTCATTTCAAGGACTAATAAATATCGCTAATAAAACTTCAATTTCCACTTGATTTGTTATTTGTCACTTCAAGTAAGATTTGCCCTGCATTTTGACCATTTACAGGGCTTTATTTCAAGATTCAGCAGAAATAATAAAAATAAAAAAAGCTAGTAAATTATCTCTGAATACAATAGTATTGCTCAAAGTTTTATTATTAAACGTCTCCAATATAATATCATGTTTACAAACTCATCTTAATCGGATCAATACTAGGAAAGTGTGYTTTGAATTCCGTCTAAGGAAGTAGGAAGGTAAGTAAATAGACAATTGCACCTGCTTGTGATACTAACTCCACTGTCAATACGTTAAAGCCTGACGGAGAGTTTAAATCGATTGGTGTGTATTTTCAACCCATCTAGGGGGTCTTAAACTTTCTTTATCGCTTCAAAAATTACCGTTACCACATGTAACACGCTTAGAACTTTCTCAGTTGGAAGCATAGGTTAGTTTCATGCGTTTCAAATTATTAGCCGTCACTATAAAGGGACTGGAGGAAGGGGTAAAGAATTCCTGTGGGGGGGATGGGTTTGTAAAATGAAAGGTTTAATGGCATCAAATAAAATATCAAAAACATTTTTTTTGAAAAAAAAAAAAAACGACAAAAAA